AAAAAAAAAAAAAAAAAAGAAAACAGAAATAAAAGAAAAAGAAATTAGGTGACCCAGGGCGCCAGGGCCTAGCATTTTATGACCATGAATATGCCCAGAGCAGTGCAGCCTGAGCAATGTTTTCCGCTGAGGTCTGTAGTGCTCCACACCCTGGGGTGCCGCTCTGACTCCCCCCCGAACACCTCTCTTCAACATTGCTAGGCTTTGTTCTTTCACAGCCTTAAATAGAAGGAAATCCTCCCAAGCTTGCTAGCAGGGGACAGCAGCCTTTTTCTTTTCTGTTGGGACCGCGGTATCCTCGCTGGACTGGGAGCAGGCCAGCCCAGAGAGTCTCTGTCACACTGGGCCTCTGCCTCCGTGAGCCTGGAGGGGACCTGGTGGGGAGGCAGAGTGAGCCGGGTCAGAGGCCAACCTGGGCCACTCCCTGTCTCCTCAGCCAGAGAACATCCTGTGTGTCAACACCACGGGACACTTGGTGAAGATCATTGACTTTGGCCTGGCGCGGAGGTACCCTCTGGTGTGGGGAGGGCAGGGCCCAGGGAGGGGAGAAGGCCCAGGAGTAGGCTGGGGGCACTGAGCTCTTGATGTCACCCCAGGTATAACCCCAACGAGAAGCTGAAGGTGAATTTCGGGACCCCGGAGTTCCTGTCCCCTGAGGTGGTGAATTATGAGCAGATCTCCGATAAGACTGACATGTGGAGTCTGGGGGTCATCACCTACATGCTGTGAGCCCCAGGGGAAGGTGTTTCTGGGGTCGGTTGGGACACAGGGTGGGCAGTGGAGGCCGAGACAGGCCTTGGGGTCTGGTGAGGTGGCCCTGCCTTCCTCATCCCCCAGGACTTGCTGGGAGTTGGGAATGCTAGGGACAACCAGGAAAGGAGGATCTGTTCCCATTTGATCGATGGAAAAATTAAGACCCCTAAAGGCATAGCATTCCGTGCCAAGGCTCTGGACAGCAGATTTAAGGTGAACCAGGGTGGGAGCAGAGGGGCAGTGGACAATTTTTGTGCCTTTGCCACATGCCTTGCACACATCGTTTCTCATCTTCACCATAACCCTGGAAAGCTGGGGTGATTATGCCCATTTTACAGACGAGAAGAGTGAGGCTCAGAGAGGGGAAGTGACTTGCCCAAAGTCACCCAGCCAGATTCAAACCCAGGTCTGTCCCGCTCGGGAAGCTGGGGGTCTTTCCAGCACACGGTACTGCCTTCTAGGTTCTCCCCCTACCTCCAACTCAGCGTCTCTGGTCTCCTCTCCCTGCCCTCTACCACCCCTTCCCTCCAGGCTGAGTGGCCTCTCCCCCTTCCTGGGAGATGATGACACTGAGACCCTGAACAATGTCCTGTCTTCCAACTGGTACTTTGATGAGGAGACCTTCGAGGCTGTGTCAGAAGAGGCCAAAGACTTTGTCTCCAACCTCATCATCAAGGACCAGGGGTGAGGTTCACCGATGACCCAAACTCTGTGTGTGCAAGATCACTGTGTATGTGCAAAGCTGACTCTGTGTGTGCAAGCTCAGGTGCGTGTGCAAGCTCACTGCATGTGTGTGTGTGTGTGTGCGTGTGTGTGTGTGTGTGTGTGTGTGTAAGCTCACTGCATATATATTCACTGCATGGAAACCAGGTCTGAAGGCTGCTGGGCCTGGCATTTCCCTTAGTAATACGCTACCCCCTCAACAGGGCCCGAATGAGTGCCGCCCAGTGCCTGGCCCACCCCTGGCTCAACAACCTGGCTGACAAGGCCAAGCGCTGCAACCGCCGCCTGAAGTCCCAGATCCTGCTTAAGAAATACCTCATGAAGAGGCGCTGGAAGGTACTGCTGGCCAGCGGGGAGGAGGGTGGGTCGTGGACGGAGCCCTGCCTGGCACCAGGGGTTGTGTTGACCAGGCCTGGCCTTGTCTGGAAAACAGTTGGTTTTTCTTCACCAGGGGTTGTGTTGACCAGGCCTGGCCTTGTCTGGAAAACAGTTGGTTTTTCTCTCTCTGCTCCGGCTGGGCTCCTTCCACCCACCTCCGCCAGTCTGGGGCGGTGCACCCACCTGGGTCTAGGCTTGGGGAAATATCTTGGCTCCCATCACAGGCTCTCTTCCTTCATTTTTCAAATATTTATTGAGCAGCTATTACATCCAGGCACCAGGACGCAGCAGTGGATAAAACAGACAAGATTCCAGTCTCTGCACCTATCTTGGTGGGAGTGGAGCGTTATTGGAATGGTTAAGGCAGTGCTCTAGAAAAGAAAAAAACAAGGCACCCAGGGTGCCATAGGAGAGATTGGGAGCCTCAGTCTCTTATCCTGGCCCAAGGAAAGAGGAAACTGAGGCTCAGAGGTAGGAGGAGCTTGAGGGCTGCTCAGTAAGCAGGGGGTGGTGGGGGTGGAGAACAGGCTGGAAATGAGCTCTCTGCCTCCCAGAGTGGAGACTGTGCCCAGGAATTGCTGAGAAGGAGCTGGTGAGCAGAGACCCCAGGAGGTGTGGTGTGAGGCGAGTCTCCTTCTCTCGGGCCTCATTCCTCTCCCTTTACTCACTCTGCTCCAGCTATTCTGGCCTCCTGCTTGCCCCTCAAACTGGCCATGGGGCTCTGCCACAGGACCTTGGCACCGCGGTTCTCCTTGCCTAGAATACCCTTTCTCCACACGCTCCTTAGTGAGCTCTCTCTGATTTCCCGCTCCGTGTTTCAGTGAGAAGCAGGACCACTCCTGGGCGGAGCCTCCCTCTGGGAGACAGAGAGCTGAACAGGTAGCATGTGGACGGACCTGTCTGACACGTGAGGGGTTTATCTTTTACTTGGAGCCATTGAGCTTTAGAGTAGAGCTGTTGGGCTCCAGTCCAGCCGATTTGCCTGATGAGTGGGGGAAGGATTCCCAGACGGCGTGGTGTCGTGGCGCCCCCTGCGGCCACTTGGGGCAGTGCAACCCTTCCTACTGACACGGCTTGAAGGGGACCTTAAGGTCACTCAGCTGTCTCACACTTTCTCCCCAGTACCCGTGCTGAATAGGATTCCTTCTTTCTCCCCCCTAGAAAAACTTTATTGCTGTCAGTGCTGCCAACCGCTTCAAGAAGATCACCAGCTCGGGAGCTCTCATGGCTCTGGGGGTCTGAGGTTCTGAGGTCTGGACGCAGCCGCAGAGTGGCCGGGCAGAGGCCACACAGCCCAGAAGGCCAGAGTGGGCAGGCCAGGTCCCTGGGACGGGCCGGCCAAGGCAAGGCTGTGTCAGGCCAGGCTGGGAGGCTCAGGCTCCCCATGCCCCCATGCGGCGACGCTTCCCCAACGCCAGCTGCCTCTCCTGGAGAATGGCCCTATCCGATCCGTACTGCTGATGCCTCCCCAGACAGGGCTTGGGCCCAGCAGCCGCACGCCAGCCTCCATGGACCTTGAAGCAGCTCCCTAGTCCCCTTCCTAGATCCCCCTTTGAGCACTGCCCTGCGGCCCCTGTCTGCCCCTCCTGGGGCATCCCTGGCCAGGACTTGCTCCTGGCTGGGGTGTGGTGGATGGGGGTCCTGCATGTGAGGCTTCCAAGGTTGTGGAAGGGAGGCTTCTGGCAGGGCAGAAAGGCTGCCTGGGGAGACAGAGCAGGCTTTGTAAACCAGGACCTCCATGCCCCACAGCCTGCACTCCCAACAGATAGGGCCCATCTGGGCCAGCCCGCCCCACCCACACACAGGAACCCTGGGAGAGAGAGGGTGTCCTGTCTGGGCCCAGTGGAGGGGCAGGTGAGAGGCCTAGGGGACACAGGAGACTACCCCAGAGCTTACCTGTGGGCTAAACCTGCCCAACCCAGCCTCTGTGGGCCCATCCTCCACCGAGAGGATTGGTTCAGCAGGCTCAGGAGTGTGAGGTCCCTGGGCAGCCCCCAGCCTGCTGTCAGCTTGTGCCTTGTAAATAAATGCACAGGTCAGCCGTGGCCTCCTTCCCTCTGTGCAGACACCCTTGTCAGCTCACAAGCAGCTCCAGTTCACCGCACGCTTACTGTGTGCTGGGTACCTTGGTGCATCCATCTGTGTGCAGTGGCTCAGAGCCAGGCTGCCTAGCGCATGGTCCAGGCGAGCTTACGGCTCGTGTGCTGCAGTGGGCTGTGTCCCTGAAAGCTCTAAAAGGTTCGCCACCACTGGTGCAGGCAAATAGACTCCCCGATTTGTACCTCAGTTTCCTCACCTATGTGAGGACATTGAAATGTGTATGGGGTGCGGACTGTCCGCCGGGTTGTAGTTAAGTGTTTGCACAAGACATAAGCTCATCCCTCCTCACAGCGGGATGACGAGTTATTTCCACTTCACAGTGGGAAACTGAGGCAGTGAGGCAGGGTAGAACCAAGATGGGTGGTGGGTGGTTCACTCAGTGGAGACGAAAAGCACTGGGAGCTGTGCTCAGAACTGGCAGGTTCTGGGGGCCCCAGTGTTCTTAACTGGCTCAGTGGAAGAGGAAATTGAGGCTCAGGTGGGAGGAGCTTGAAGGCTGCTCAGCAAGCTGGAGGCCAGGCTGGAAATGAGCTCTCTGCCGCCCAGAGTGAGGCTCTGCCCAAAGTCGTCCTGCTTCTCCCAGAACATGGAGCAGGAGCGGGAGGCAGGGTCTTCAGGGACCAAAGCTAGGGGCACAGGTGCTCTTGGCTGAAGCCCGCCCCACCCAGGCCAGCCTTGCAGGGCCAGGGATCCATCTGCTAGGCTGGCAGTCGACAGCGGGAGAGCAGAGCCCAAGTACGGTGGAGTCTGCCCGGCTGTGAGGACAACAGAATTGGAAGTGACTCCCGCCTGCTGGGGACGCCGAGGTCCCTGCAGGAGAGTGGCAGAGGTGGCAGTTAACAGGTTGCGAGCCTGGGCTTTGATCCCCTGGGGGCTGGAAATGGCCGGGATGGAGTATTGTGCCCATTTCCCAGACAGGACACCCCAGCCTTGGGGCATTCAGCTCTGTCTCAGGAACACACAGAAGGTTTGTGGTGGAGACCAGGCTCAGAGACCCCGTCTGGCCCTTCCGTCTCTCTCCTGTCCTTACCCCACCCTGCCTGTTCTCGCAGATGAATAGAGGGTCCCATCACGGCAGATGCCACACAAGATGGGGCGTGGGGCTGGGAGGCGCTGAGCCTGGCTCTTGCAGTTGGAAACTCGGAGGCCCCGATCCTGGCTTGGGCTCTTGGGGTGCTATGCTCATAGGCAGGGCCCCCAAGGCCCCAGATCCCCACCTGCCTGTCCGCCCGCCCTGTACCTGCCAGCTGGGCCAGGCCTGTGGTTTCCTCTGAGTGGTTCTCTCGGCCTCTCTGGCCCCCACCCAGGCTGAGCCTGGGCCACACAGAGCGATGATGAGGGATGAGTCACCCCGTGGGGGAGGAGGAAATGAGATCGGCCAGAGCAGAGATTCAAAGCCTGGATCGATCTGGGGAAACCAAGGCCAAAAACGGGGAAGGCCTCTCATTCAACACTGTGACAGCTGGGTCTACAAGCCAGGATGCCAGACTCCCAGCACAGACCTCAGTTTCCATCTCTACGTGTGAAAGTGATAATCTCAGCTCTTCTCTCCTCTGCCACATCCAGGGCCATTGTAACAATTGAGAGATGGGACAGGGTATCATTCACCATATTTCATAGGTGAGGAAACACTTTCAGAGAGGGAAAGTGACTTACCCAAGGACACACAGCAAGTCACCATGTCCTGGGTAAAGAATACACCCAGAACCATGGAACAAGGCTGATGGTTTCCCAAGCCCCATCTCCCTGCCGGAGCTCATCTTAGCTCTTTTTGATTAATCAGGTGCCTATTTTGGGCCTCTCGTCATCAGAAGCCGAAGATATAGATCTGATGCTGTGGATGGGAAAATGGGTTTTGGCTCTTGCTGGGGCCTGCAGAGCACACTCAGCAGAGCTGGGCTGGTGCAGAGCTGGGCTGGTGCAGAGCTGGCTCTGCCTCTCTGGAGGCCTGGGACTGGCCCCATTGTGCTCAGAGCTCCATCCCTGGCAGCTGCAGGGAAAAAGAGATTGTTTATCCAAGGGCTGCCCTGGCAGAGGGCGGGAGGGAGCCCATGGCTGGACTGGGATGGAGGAGGGCCTGTGGCCAAGGCTGCATGCTTCCCAGGCCCTTCTGTGGTTTGCCTGCCCAGTGTAGTGCAGGGCATGGTCCCTCCTGTAGTGTCCATCCCAAAGCCCACGCTGGGTCTTTTTTGCAAGGTGGCTGTGCTTCCCTGGCCTGGGCCACCAGCTTCCCTGGCCCTTCGGGCAAAGAAGGGTTAACACCCTCGGTGGGACTGCTCCTCCCAGCTGGGCCCAGCCCAGAAAGCTCTCCTCCAAGACCATTTCCTGCCTCTGGGCCTTGGCCCAGGCCCACAGTGACCACCCCCATGGGTCTGGAAGCCACTGGGGCCACATCTGGTTTGGATTACACCAGGGCCAGTGATGTTGCCTTTTCCTGTCTGGGTCTAGTGGCCTCAAATTCCACCAGCCACCTTGGACCCAACAAGGCAGTGGTGGGAAAAGATTCCACCAGTGATGGGGCCACCATGAGGGTGGGAAGCAGCCGGGGTCATCCTGGGGGGTGTACCCACCGGGCCCAAGCACTGAGCTGGACAGTTGCCCATGCACCTGCTCTGGCTGCCCACTTTCCTGTCCTCACTCTAGTGGGGAGGAGCCACAGGACATCAGCACCAAACCTGGGGTTTCCTGGGTCCCACTTCATTCTGTCTCTACCTTATGAGTGGATGTTTTCATCAACAGCATTTCCCAGGAGGGAATGAGGCACAGGGACACATTTATGGGCTTCCAGCCAGTGAATAGTGGAGTCAGGACCCACAGTGGCAGTGACACTCCCAGCATATCAAGTCCCCACTCTGGTCACCCTTGCCCTTACTGAGCTCCCACCTCTGGGACTTCAGAGGGAGGATGGCAATGAGGGAAGCTGAGAGGAACTCAGGAAACCAGAGGATGGGAAGGAGACGTGGACTGTGTCTCTTCTCTCCTCTCCAGTGGGAACGAGGCCCAAGGTGAGCCAAAGTACGGAACAGGCAGACCTTTTCCTGATGGAGAGGAGGACGTCACAGGCCCAGGGGAATATATTCCAGTGGGGCTTCTGCCAAAGACGGAGTAGGAAGAACATCTGGAGATGTGCCGGGAGCTTGAGCGGGCAGGCTGACTCAGGGCGAAGGGCGGGGAGCCAGGGGAGGGTGCAGAGCAAAGGGGGAACCTGGCCGTGCCCATGAAGGGTCGGGCAGCCAGGCGGGCCAGCGGTAAGCAGGGAGAGCAGGGGAGGCTGGACCGTGTCTGCCTGAGAGGCCGTGAAGAGCTGGCTCTGGAGCAGGAAGCCCAGAGCTAGATGCCTCTAGCCAGATGGAATGGTAACAGATTGGACCCTGGGTAGGACAGAGCTCGAGACTGCTCACTTGTCCCCCTAGACCCCAGTTTCCCATGTGCAAAACGAGTATCTCCCTCCCAGGGTCAGTGCAAATGTTTCATGAGATGAGGTGGACCTGCACAGGATGCAAAGCCTGTTTTTTTTTTCGGTGCCGGGGATTGAACACGGATCCTTGCAAGGCAGGCCACCAAACCGCTGAGCTAAATCCCCGGCCCCTCAAAGGCTGTTTTACAGCATCTTTCCTTCCTTCCTTCCTTCCTTCCTTCCTTCCTTCCTTCCTTCCTTCCTTCCTTCCTTCCTTTCTTTCTTTCTTTCTTTCCTTCCTTTCTTTCTTTTCACAGCAATTTCTTGAGTCCCTGTCCCAGATATTGTCCTAGGTGCTGGGGACAGTCAGTGAGTAGACAAGGTCCCTGACATCACCGTGTTTCCTTCGGGTAAGGGAACAGACACTGAAGAGCAACGATGAATGGAGAACATATTGCTGGGGGAGAAGGGATGTGGGAGTGAGGGAGGCCTCCCAGGAGGCGGAGGGGAAGACACCTGGGGACCAGCGGCAGAGGGGAGGCCAGTGCAGGGCTACGCAGAGTGCAGGAGGAGTCCTTTCCTGCAGGACCTGGGCTGGTGCTGGCTCGGACAGGAGTTTGAGATTTAGTCCACGGCGAGTGGGTGGCTGGGTGAGCACAACTCCATGGATTAACTCAGCAAAACTTCCCTGGGGTCCTACTGTGCACTGGTCATCAGGCTAGTGAGGTTGGCCGTGTCCTCCGCCCCTGACTCTGCACACACGTCTTCCTCACTGCAGCAGAAAGGATGCAGACAGAGGCATCGTGGGGGCATCTAACCGGACCAGAGGTTGTGGGGCTTCTCTGAGGGGATTTGACTGAGCCTGGCTCTGGGTGCTGAGCCAGTGGGAGGGAGCTCTGCAGGCAGGGGAACAGTCAGGGCAGAGGCCTCAGTGGGGAAGGGGGGGGGCTCCTGGGAGCTACTGTCTCCCAGGAGCGGCGGCCCAGCCTCTCCTCTAGGACCTGGTGAGGAGGCAGCCTGGCCTTTCCGGCTGACTGTGCGACCGCATGGGCCCTGGCCTGTTTTTAGCGTGGAACCACTTCCTCCTGCTCCACTAGCTGCCTCCCTGAGTCACAACCCTGTTCCTGGTGGGGAGGGAATTAGACACCTCTGGACCTTCAGGATGTAGTTTTTGCCATGTGTGGAAGAAGAGGCACAGATGACCGGGCAGAGGGCCAGAATGATTCCCCAGGGGGCTGTTTTCATTCCAGCTGACCAACTTGTACACGTAGTGTGCAGGATGGGATTTCAAACCTGCTCATCCTGGTAGAATCATCCCCACTTTACAGATGAGGAAATAGGCTCAGAGAGGTGAATGCACTTTGGCAAGATTACACAGCAGGGAAGCAGAACAGCCAGAAACTGAGTCCCATGCCTTGTTTGTAAATAGTCCTTCCTCCCTCTGCCCCTGATACTGCAGGGGATAAGTTGGGTTAAGGTGGACATGCCCACGACCCAAATACCTATTTATTCCACTTAACAAACACTTATATTGCAATTTCCATGTGCCAGACCCCCCGTGTTAACTCTGCAAATATTAACTCACGTAATCCAACCCCACGGGAGTAGGGCTGTGAGTGTCCTCGTTTACAGATGAGGAAAACACAGAGAAGGGAGGCAACTCTCGCAGAGTCACACAGCTGGGAAGCAAGGGAGCTCGGATGTGACCCAGGCAGGAAGGCGGTGGGAGGGTGGGAGTCTGTACCGGGAAGGGGTTAGGGTGTTTGGGCTGCAGCCTGGATTCCAGGGCTCCTGCACTCCCGGGAGGCCACCAGGCAGCGCCCTTGGGGGAGAGGGTCTCTTCTGCATGGCACCCACCTGATGGTGGACCCTAGAATGCCATTCTCCAGGGAAGGAGGCAGGGAGCGGGCCGGGAGTGCAAGCTGGAGAGGTGTAGAAGTCTGAGAAGGGCAGCCCTGCTGGGTACGGCGGCCTCCTGGGGCAGGGAATGCTCCCTGAGCTGGGTGGGCAGAGGCCACGGGCAGGGGAAGAGCTTCTGAGGCCCTTCAGAGCCACCACACCTTGTGTGATGGGGGCCTCCCTTGCAGGAGGATTCAGGAATTGGGCAGGGGGTGCCCTGTCAACTCTGAAAGTCCGGGGATCTGAGCTGCTGTGATTCAGAACTCTGGAATATTCCTAAATACCACCGATTCTACCATTTTAGGATTTGATTTAGCCTCGTTCTGCAAGGAGACTCAATGTCCCTTTCTTTTTTTTATGGTGTCGGGGGTGGAACCCAGAGCGTTTGTGTGCCAGGCAATTGCTCCACCACTCAGCCAGTCCCCCAGGCTCTTGGTGTCCTTGTCTTGCTCTCACCTGCTGCCGCCAATGTGCCTGGGGTCCCCTCCTGGAGGCTGGCGGGCCTCCAATGAGAAGGGCCCTGCAGGCAGTCTCAGATGTGATGGTCCCCACCCTCTGAGGGTTACGTGGCAAAGGCGGCAGCAGTGAGAAGGCAGCATGGGTTGAGAAGACAGCTCTGCTCGTGCCTTGCTGTGTGACCCTGAGTATGTCACTTACCTCCTTTGGCCTCAGTTTCTCCATCTGTGCCAACACGCTCTCCTTGGGCCCACCCAGATTAGGAGTAACTTGCTGCCCCACAGCACCCGTCCAGGTGGGGTGGTCCGGCAGGAGCCGGAGGTGTCCACTGGTCATGGAAAGAATGTGAAGGCAGGAAGCGCAGTGGGGGGCATCTCCCGGCTGGGCAGCGTGCAGAGGGCACCTTGAGATCATGGTGTCGAGGCCTCCTGGCCCAACTCCTCCCTAGATGGAACCTCCTCCAGGCCATCCTTTAGGTCAGGCCCTCCCTGGGACTCAGATCCAGAGTCAGGCCGCCCCCCACCCCACCCAGCAAAAGGAATGAAACCCAGGCCCAGAGAGGCGGGCACTGGTCCAGGCTTACACTTCAAGGCCAAAGCAGGCACTGGGCCCAGGGTCCTGCTTGGGAATGTGGGCCAAGAGGCTTGTCCTCATTTGTTGACAGATGAGAAGTCTTTGGGGTGGGAGGAGGTGCTCAGGGGCCAGGAGCTCATGGCCAGAGCGAGGTAGGCACCCGGTGTGACTGACCCTGTCTGTGTTCACCCAGGGCAGGACACACAGGGCCTCGGCCCAGCTCAGAGGTTAAGTCTCCCGGGGGGCTCTTCCAGGATGCTCTTCCATGTCTTCCAGCTCAGGACTCAGCTGGGAAGGCACTGGGGCCACCAGGGCACCACGGGAATGCACCACAGGGAACAGTGCCTGGCAGAAGCCGCCTTCTCTGACCAGCTGAGGAAGAGCCCCCACCCTCTGAATCTGTCCGTCTTCCCCTGACTCGTTCTGTGCCGAGGGCACTCGAACCCTTCCCCCAAACACTGACCCACAGGGCACACCCACACCCCCTTAGGCACAGCCCTTTCTCCCTTTCCTCAGAGAGAGGAAGCTACCTCTGGGAGGCGGGGCAGACCCTCACCCTGGCAGTCTCACCGCTCCAGGGGTGGTGCAGCAGACAAGGGAGTGGTCTACGGCCAGCCAGGCTTTTTCCCAACCCCTTCCCGCCACAGTGAGTCCCTGCCCAGCGGGTCCCCCTCCACCTCAGCTCTGGGTCCGTGGGAACCAGACAGTCCATGCTGTCCAGCCGGGCTTGCTTCCTTCTGGGCCCCGGGGGACCCGTGAGGGGAGGAGGGAGTCACAGAGGCTGAAGTCAGCATGGCTGGCTGCCCAAGGGAGGCCTCTGGGAGGACTGGCCCGCCTGCCCAAAGCAGGGGTCCCCAGCTCTTTGGGGGTCACCTTATGGGACATCAAGACTCTCAAACCCTACACCAAAGACAAAACTAGGGGTTCCATCAGCATCCACAGCATCCATTTTCTCTCACACCCTGATCCAGAGGGGAGCACTAAGGCTCCAAGAGAAAGTTAACTGCTTCCGCTCCTCCCGCACTGGTGGCCACGGAGACAGTGAGGTTTCAGGTTTATACATTTGTTCCTCTGATCAAGTGCCACAAATACTCTACATCTCCTGTCTCCACTCCAGGGGGTACCTAGAGGAGGTTCAAGCTTAGGGCATGGTCATTTCTAATCCGAACTCAGGATACCCCTGCCCCACCCCAAGAAAGAAACTTTTATCAAGTCACTAAGAAATGGGGTCGTGTAAGCCTGGCATTCCAGGATTTCAAAAGTAGCCCTTGCTCCCCTGGAGGCACCGCAGTCCTGCTCTGCCCGATCTCCACCCTGTACCTCCCTCAAATCAGGGCAAAGCCATAGACACCTGGGTGTCATTCCTCTCAGCCACCCCTTTGCCAGCCTGAGTTACGGCTGGTGGGTGAGCCCCAAATGCTGAGCCTCACTTGCCCCCACTGTAAATAGGGCGGGTGTTTCTCTTCCCCCATGGAGGTGGCAGGCAGCAGCCCGGGAGGGAAGAGATGCACCACAGGTCACAGTGTTCAGTCATAGTTTGGGGCTGGACAACCACCAGCCCCTCAGGCTGGCCCAGCCTCCCCTGGCCTCTTAGCCACATCTGCCCTCTGCCTGCCCCATTCCCTACTTTCTGTTCCTCTGATTTTCTGGGAAACTCCCTGAGAAAGTCCCCAGCAGGAGAAAGCTCATGGGAGATGTTTTCATCCAGGGTCTCTGTCTCTGTCACACAACTTCATAACCACAGCCAACCCAAGGGGAACCCAGGATGTTGACCCTCCGTCCCCCACCATCCAGCAGGCTGATCCTTATAATCACAATGGCTTTTATTGGCCCAAGAGCCACAGAGTCAAGTGTAAGCGATCCCCGTCCCCTCACCCCCAAGTCTGCTGGGCCCGATGGCCTGGCTGCGTTGGCTGCAGAGTCCTGGCTTCCCATCCTAGGTGATGTTGGCCTGCCAGGGCTGGGTCCTTCAAGATCTGTCCAGGTCCTAGAGCCAGGCTCAGCCCGGAGGGTGTCCTTGACAGGGGCCCTGTGGAGGTGAGGCCGCATCATTCAAAGAAGAATACTCTTGGTGTCCGGTATAGGCAGGAGGGCAGCCCCAGTGGGTAGCCGGAGCCTCCCTGGACAGGGAAGCTCCCTGGAGCCCAGGGTTCCTTGGGGTCGGCTGGCAAGGGTAGTGGGGCCCGGAGGGAGGCAGGAGGGGCGGGCGGTGCAGGGGAGGGGGCTGCCGAGGCCAAGAGGTGCTCCAGTCCTGGGTCAGCCCCCATGCAGAAATTCAGGGCCTGAAGCCGACACTGGTAGCTGCTGCCGACGCCCACCTCCGGGGTTGCTGCAGGCGTAGGGACCTTGCTAAAACCCTCTGCCTCGGAGAAGCCGGCAGGAAAGCCAACTGCGGGGCATGGCGAGGACGAGGCGGCCACGGGGAGCTCCTCAGGGCCTGCAGGCTTAGGCGTGGGCATCTCTTTGGGCTCCATGGGTAGATGCGGCCTTTTGTCAGCAGTTGCTGGGCACATGCTGCCTGGCACAGCCCCCACCAGACCCCCAAAGCTTAGGCCCTTGGGGTCAGGCAGCTCCAGTGGGAATGAGCACCGCCTGCCATCCACAGCCTCGGGGACTGCTGGGTGCTGGCTGGTGGCTCTGAGGGGGCCACGGGGTGCTCTGGCAGAGCCCTTGGCGCCCTCAACGCCTGTCCGCCGGGTGAAGCGGCGGCGACGACGAAGGAAGCTGCCGTGCTGGAACATGTCATGGCAGTCAGGGTCCAGGGTCCAGTAGCTGCCCTTGCCCGGCTTGCGATCGTCCCGGGGCACCTTGACGAAGCACTCGTTGAGGGACAGGTTGTGGCGAATGCTGTTTTGCCAGCCGGGCCGGTTGTGGCGGTAGAAGGCAAAGCGGCCCATGATGTAGTGGTAGATGCCACTGAGCGTGGCCCTCTGCCCCGGCGAGCTCTGGATAGCCATGGCGATGAGGGCTATGTAGCTGTACGGGGGCTTGGTGGGCTCTGTGGCAGGGACCAGTGGCCCTGGCGGTGGCGGTGGTTGCTGCATGCTGCCCAGGCTGGCGGCTGCTGGGTCCACAGAGGCCAAGCACAGGCGTCCAGGTTCTGGTGTGTGGCACAGCCTTCCCGGGCTGGTTAAAAGGCCCACTGGCCCAGCCTCCCAGCCTAGAAAGGCAAAAAGGGGAGGGCCTACCAGGCTGCCCTCCCTCCCGCCCTCACCACCCCCTACAAGCCCCAAGAGGGGCGGGCAGCAGAGGCCAGGGCTGAGAAGCCTGGAGCAGCTGCCGGGTGGAGGTGAGAGGGAAGGAAGGGACTGAGACCCTCAGCCCACAGGGGCTGGGCTGCAGGGGCTGGAGAGGGACAGGAGGCAAAGGAGAGCAAGACAAGGACACAAGAAGAGGCAGGAATGTACAGAGGCAGAGACAGAAACAAGACAGAGAGAGGCAGAACATAAAAAGAAGGGTGATGATTAGACAGAGACTAAGTAGACAGAGAAAGAGAGACATACACGCAAAGAGACAGGCAGCATATGAGAGATGGAGTCAGTGGGAGACAGAAAGAAGGAGCTGCAGAGAGACGCAGGTGCAGACACAGGTGTGGGGTGGAGTCCTGGTGAGAAACCAGAGGTGGGCAGAATCTAAGCAGGGTCCCTACAGAGGGAAGGAAGCCCCAGGTGCCCCTCCAGTCTTCCTTCTAGTCCTCCCTTTCGCTCTGCTCCTCCGCGGCCCTTTCCTGAAGCAGAGAGCCTTTGCCTGGGGCACACTGTCCCCATCCCGAGCACTGGGTGTGTAGGCGGGCAGGCACTTAGGATGGAAAGGACGCTGTGCTCGGCTGAGCCCAAGCGCCCCCTGGTGACTGGCATGGGGAGGGCAGTGTCTGGGTGGAGCTGTTCTCCCTCCCAAGGGACTCTCAAGACCTTGCTTGGCCAAGCCTGTCTCCCATCTCTAAAACGGTGCTGGCCACTCTTCAGCTATCGGAGCCACAGTGAGGAGGCAACAAGCTCCCTTACACAGAGGCCACAGCCCCATGTGTCTGTGGAGTGTCGCTCTGAACTGAGGCTCCCCCGGCTGCAGCCTCAAGCCAGGCAGTCTGCCCTCCTGACGGATGGGTAGGGTCCTTCCTGATTGACCACTCCCAATTCCGTGGTCACCTACTCTGTGTCAGGCCAGTGGAGCAACCCTGCTTCCGAGGTCCTCATTGCTTCTCTTGTATAGATGAGAGGAATAAAGCTCAGAGAAGTTAAACAACTCACCTGAGGTCACACCAGCTAGTGAATGATGAAGCTGGGATTTGCATCCAGGGTTCTGTAACTCCTTAGCACCACTCCTCAGCATTCTGTGAGCATCACGAATCAGGGACAGTCACAGGAGCTCAACTAGAAAACAGATTGGGAACCCCAAGAGAATAGGGACTATGCTGTTTTGCGCTATTCTCAGCATTGGACATGGGAACAGAGTAGGTGAAAAAAAAATGTCTGTTCAGTGACTGAAAAAATAGTGATTGATTCACTTCTGTCGCTTCATAGATTTCCTCCATAAAAGCAGCTTACTGGCTGGTTGTGTAGCTAGTGGCAGAGCGTACACTGAGCATGCTCAAGGCCCCAGCACACACATTAAAAAGTGGCTTATTCATGTATGGCTAAAAAGACATTATTTTGGCAACTGTAAGAGGATTCCTTTAAAGTCAGAAATCAGAAAAGGAAAAAAAAAGGTGACTATACTCACAAGACTGGGAGAATTGGACTCCTACTTTGGTCTATGCCTTAAGGTTGTTTGGGAGCCTGTCTCAGTTTCTCCAAAGACAACACCTAGAGATGGTCAGTGGTTAGTATCCAAAGCCCAGGGTTCAGGCCTAGCCCTCTTTTGTGACCTTCACTGACCTCAAATAAAGAAAAGAAACTCGTGGCAGGTGGGAGGAAGGGTCTGGGACTGGAGCCCCTGGAGAGCCAGGCCGCATGGTTGCTCGCTGGCCATTGTCTATACAGCCTGAGGATCTGTTTCTGTGAAACTCAGCCTTGACAGGGTGGGGCTGGCTTTCAGTTAGTTGCCATCAGCATCTGGGGCCCTGCACAAGAGCTTTAGTCCCTTCCCTCATTAACTGCTGCATCCCACCCTGTTTGTCACCTCCTGGGGCTCCGCTCCCGTGGGTGAGGTGAAAGATGCCACCAACTTCGCCATCCTGTGACCTGGGCACAGGTGGAGGGAGGCCCCCATGCACCAGCTCAGTGTGAGCAGGGCTGGGGACACAGGGCCTCACTCCTGGGGGGCTGCCTTCGGTGGGTGTGAGAAGGGGAAGCAGCCCATTTAGGGCTGCCACACAGAAAGCGGCTGATGCTACTACCCAGAAAGCCAGGCTGAGGGTCCCATGGGTGCTCTGAATGCAGGAGGAGCTCTCGGTGAAGACTGTCTCTGCCTGCAGGGAGAGGCAGAGTCTCATTCCTGGTGGGAAGTCACCATGCTAGTGACAGCTATGTTCCCACATCTACTTTTCAGGGATGTTCATAAAAACCAGAGGGTCAGACAGGGTCAGGAGGGGGAGCTGGGCCTGTAGAGGGTCCGTGAGGAGCTGGCTGGAAGGGACCAGCGGGAATGGATCTCCCACAATGGAGGGAATGGCTCACATGGGCCATTGTGAGTGTGCTCTCCGGCTCGTAGGGAGGACATAGGTACTCCTCACCAGGGCACAGACTGATCTGGTACTCTGGCTTTGGCCACCTTTCAGCAGGTGGACATGCAGTTCTATAGGCCCAAGACTGTGGGTTCCGGGCCAAGAATCAGGCAGTTCATCCAGTCCCACTGGGAGCTTGGGCCTCAAGTCTGTGCTCTCCCGTGTGTACCTGTGCCCTATGCCCACTTCCACATCCCTACGGCTGTGCCACGCCCACATCGGCACCCACTTCCAGGGCTCACATCCCTTGCCTGGTGCCCCACGCCCAACCCCATGCCTGTATGCCTTCCCAATGTCCACTGCCAGACAAGGCTTATCTTGTGCGCAGTACCCCTGATGCCCACCCTATGCCGGGTGCCTTATGCCAACAGATATACCCAAGTCCTGCACGTATGGTCCGAGGCCTCAAAGCCTGCCTGCTATTTTTTCCCTCCCCAGGGCTTTCTGTGCTGTGTCCTTTGTTTTAATGCCCACTCTGAGCCCAGCACCTTTAAGCCCACACCCTTGCGTCAATATCTCGTGTGCCTACATTCCTCTGCCCGCGTTCTTTTGGCCTCCTTGCACCCACGCCTGTGCCCAACCACCCTGGCCCTCGGCCCCACTGTGGGGTGCTTATCCTGGAGAGAGAGGCGCGAGTGCACAGCTGCAGGCGTGCTTGCGCTCCAGGCTTTTGGGCAGCGCGCGGTGTGGAGCCAATGGGCAGCGCCAGTACATGCTGCTTTGGCACAGGCGCTTGGCAAAAACACCCTCTGGCGCCACCCACAGCAGCATGCCTAGCTCCAAGTGCACAGCAGACGCTGCAGCACGTGCACACCAGGCGCGGCTGCAGGAAGCCAACGTGCGAATGACCGTCCCAGCAGGCGGTCGGTGGGTGGTGCAGCCTGTAGGCTCAGACAGCAGCCCCAGAAGAGCGGCACATGAAGCCAGCAGTCTGCGTGTGCCAGAAGAGAGTGGCGCTGGCATTGGCGGGGCCACCCATCTTCCCTTCTCTGCCCTCCTCCGCAGCAGGGCGGAGGGCGCCAATCTTCGTGCACCACTCCCAATCTGTGATACTAATAATGCTAGCAGTGGATTCCAGTATAGCCCAACAGGTAGTCGAGCTCCCTGATTGAAAGCACTGGCTCTGAGGTCATCTGGATGTGACTCTGAGGCCCCTCCAGCACTGATCTCCAGGGTTCTAGGGGCTTCTAGCCAGCGAAGATTTTAATGCTATCAGAAGTAAAGACAACGGCAAGGTTAGTAACCGCAGGGGGAACCAGCAACACAGTTCCGTGTCAGAGCTGTGGGCTTGGCAGCCAGGCCCTTGGATTCTATTCTCCCGGTGTGATTTGGGCACTGTGACCTGAAATTAGCTAACCTTGGGTAAGGTTCTTAATTCTGTGTCTGGATTTCTGTATGTGTAAAATGGGGTTAATGGGAACATCTAAGAGCTAAGGACACCTGGCATAGACTAAGACCGCAAATGTTAGCTTTTGTGGCTGGTTTGGGGAGTCTGGGATGTGTGCTTTGTGTGGGAGATGAGCTAGCTGGCTTTGGCCCTGGGCCATCCCCAGTTCTGCACCTGGTCAGAAAGGAGGCCCTTTAGATTCCTCACCAGGATTGCTGAAGTCTTCAGAGGGGGTCAGGCTCCAGGGGTATCCTGGGATCAGTGCCTGGTACCCTGGCAAAAAAGGGTATATGGTCAGGCTCTCCTATGCTGGCCCCCTGGACCCCAGATCCAGGGGGAGGTCCAGGAGGAGGCAGGGGTGGTGAGGAGACCCAATCCTATTTTGGTCAGCCAAAGGGGCTGAGAGGAGGGCTGCTAGGGGTAGGGAGCCATGCTTAGCTACCTGGGGGCTGCTCCTTGCCATCCTTTGTGGCCAACCCGAAGTCATCCTGAGCATTAGGAGAGAGAACCAAGTATCTAGAAGCACTTTAGCATTATGCTTACAGGTTATCTAAATAGTAAAACCATCTCAAAAAGCACCAGAATATGAAAAATGTAGCAAAGGACATTTATTTCTAGTAGGGGAACTGAAACCAGAAATCAGAGAGTTGCCTTGTTGGCCTTCAGCTTCAAATGTCCCCACTGGGCAACTGAAATTTCTTGCCATTCTGTGCTTGTCTATGAGTGGCCACAAAAACGACCCGTGTACTAATTTGGGAGATTATGAATATATTTTAGCAAGTAGGAGAATCTGTAAACATAGGACCCATGAATAATGAGGATCGACTGACTGTATGTGTTGGGGGAAGAGGAAGGGGAATTGAAGAAAGAAGAGATAGACTGAAACCAGATCGTGCATGTCCATGAAGGCTATGCTTTATCTCCTAGGCTTTGGGGCACCAGAGACACATGTCACTGTGGGCAAGGAGTCACATGTGTATGTCAGGGGAGGACTGAGGATGGGGAGAACAGCCCTCAGGGTCTCCCTCTTCTGAGCAGCAGAGTATACATCTTAAGGGACGTCAGTTATGCTTACTGAGCCCCTGCTGGTCGCCAGGCAGTGTTTAGCGTTGCCGCGCTCATGCAGCTCACTGTGTGGTGTAAGGGACAACTCATCTCAGACTTAAAACCCAACAAGGACGTTCTTCCAGCTTTGGGAAGCGTCCAGAGTCGGGGCAACTTGGAAGATGCTCTGAGCTGGGGCGTGAATGAATCAGATCAGTGAGTTCATTGGGAGGGGATCACCAGAGGAAGAGGAGCTGCAGCCGAGCAAGACGCTGTTGGCCAGGCGAAGATGAAGAGGGAGTTGTAGGCAGAGGGAAGAGTGGTGAGAGAGACAGGAAGCACATGGAGGGGGCACAGTGGCACAGGAGGACCCAAGCACCCAGGGCTCAGGTGTCGGGTGAGCTGGCGAGTGTGGTACTGGGGCTCAGCTGAGCACCATGCTTGGGGCCTGGCGGGGAGGCTGGACCCACTCCCACGGCAGAGTGGGGGAAGGGAAGATAGAGGCAGAGGTGGGGCAAGAAGCAGAGATTCTGGAAAGCAAGTGAGAGTGTTTCCAGGAGGAGGGCGGAGGGACAAGCGCGGGTCTACCTAGGGGCCAAGGAAGGGGAAGGCGGTGGTGTGGTCCTTGGATTTTGCACCTCATGACATTAGAGACAGAAGCCAGATTGCAGACGGGGGGTTAGCTAAGAAGGAGAGGTTAATGAGGAGGACCCTGTCTGGTGTTCCTTGCTGTGAAAGAAGAGGGAAGACAGAAAAAGGAGAGGCAGAGATGACTCTGGTGTTTGGGGTGGTGACAATGGTCTGATGTGTAGTTGGCTGCTTATTGCTTAGGGAGAGATTTCAGAGTTTAAACGTTCATAGAAAGGAGCCAGTTTGGAGAAAGTTAATCATCACCTGGAAGGAGAGGCCATTGGTGCACCAGAAAGCTGGGAAGAGTGCTGGGAACTTAGAAAAGGTTCCCAGGTGGGTAGTTTGGGGTGGGAGGTTGAGGGAGTTCCCAGGGTGCCTCTGATTTCCCTGTAGGGTGGGTGAGAGGAGAGGCCTGTCCATGCGGGGATTGTGTGGTTTCAAGGTGTAGCTCTGTTTTAAGAGGGCGTCCAAGGGTCTCTGGTGCATGGAGAGCACCACCTTCAATCCCAGAGGCCAGGTGAGTGGCCCAACGTCACACAGCTCGGAGGTTGGTGCCGCTGCTGGGGTCATGTGCATCCCCTGGCCCTGGCCGGGTATCCTCATCCCCTAACACTACCCTGAAGAGTTCACTGTCAGGCCTAGTAGTGTTGCTTGGCTGCCTGCTTCCAGGGATGCTGAAGAGGGTCTTGCCCGGGTCTTCCCAGCACAACCCAGAGTAGCGTCCACTCTCAGAGATCTGTGCCACCAGCTGGTCACAGAAACGCAGAGGACCTGGGGGTTCCTGCCACAGACTCCTGGTCTCTGCTGACCTTCCACCAGGGGTTGAGGGAGCACAGAGCGCCTCTGGCCAGGTCTGGATACAGGATGGCTGGATCCTCACTCAGGGGTCAGGGGATCCCCTGGAGGGCGCGCAGAGGCGATGAAGTGAAAGTCTGTGTCCCTTTCTTCTCTTCTCAGGGGAGGACTTTCCTTTTTGTTCTTCCCCATGGTCATCGTGCCTGCGGGTGTCCAGACCTCACTCAAGGGAGAATGAGCCTGGGGGTGGGGGATCCAGAGACCAAACTTGCCCCACCCTTGCACCTGTCATCTGCTCTTACTCTGAAACTTCTTGGACTCTCCCTCCTTCCCTCCCTTCTCCACTTTTTTGAGCTGATGCTTTTTGATTTGAGTCCTGAGTTACCCAGGCTGGGCTTCAAAGTGATCTTCCCTCCTCAGCCTCCGAGTCGCTGGAAATACACTGTGCAGAGTGTCCAGTTTCTTTTCAGGACCTGGACTGTCAAGACATTGGAAGGCAAAGTGCTTCTCCAACTGACTCCTGTCATAATGGAGAGGCGGTGAGTGGTCTCCAAGGCACTTTCAGGACCTCCATCCAGACCTGCAGAATTAGTCTTTGTGGGCAGGAAGCCCAGGAACCTGAATTGTTCAAGCCCCACTTATTTCCTTGAGCACTGGGAGTCCCTTTTTACTGCTGTTCATCATGGTGCTGGGCCTGGCTAAACCTTTCACCGCAGCGTCTCTGCTGGTTCTCACACAGCTTTGCAGGTAAGTATAATCGCAGGGTTAAAGCCCTGTACCGAGATCACAGGGCGTGGTGGTAGATCCAGGATCCAAATCTGGATGTCTCTGTTCTCCAGAGCCCAGAAGCCTAAGCAGTCCCACACTACCCCTGACAGCTACATCTGGAGTTCATGGATTATTGGTGGGGCCTGTGATTCCCTGAAATCGTATGTAAATTTTTTTCATATCTATAGTTGGGCATATCTGTAATCCCAGGCTGAGGCAGAAGAATCAGGAGTGGGAGTCCAGCCTAGGTAATTTAGTGACTTGGAGAGACCCTGTTTCAAATTTTTAAAAAGTTAAAAATGGGCTGAAGCTGTAGCTCAGTGTGAGGCCCTGGGTTCGATCCCCAGTATGAATCCCCCCCAATTCATATCAAACATTTTTTCTGGGGTCTGTATCTTTCATTAAATAGTCAATTTATGATATGAAAGATGTTAAATAGCTCAGACTGCTCACCCCTTGCTGTGTACATGGTGAAACTGAGGTTCGGAGGAAAGAACTGTCCCTTTCTGCCATGGGCAGAGGTCTGGGGTGCAGCCAGCACTGATCAGCGGAGGGGAAGGCTTTCTCTGTTCTCCTTCTCACCAGCCCCCACATGCCACTGGCCCTTCCCACACTTTTGTAACCACAAGTTGGGCTCGGACTCAGGCCTGTGGTGCTCCAGTGGGCCACAAAGCCTTTCACAGTGTCCCTCTGGGTCCATGGGAGATGCGGTTCAGGACCACTTTGATGCCCAAATCATGGATGCTCAAGCCCTTTAGATAAAATGGCATAGTATTTGCATTTAACTTGTGCATATTTTCCCACTGACTTTAAATCAACTACATGATTTTTTTTTTTTTTTTTTTTTGGTATTGGGAATTGAACTCCGGTCCTTTCGCTTGTAAGGCAGGTGGCGGCACCACTGAGCTAAACCCCTGGCCCCATCTCTAGATGATTTATACTAAATGCAACATGCATTCTATGTCAACAGTTGTTATGCTCTATTGTTTAAGGAATAATGACAAGAAAAAAGTCTACATGTTCAAAACAAGTGCACTGTTTTTGAAATTTTATCCGAGGTTGGTTAAATTTTTGGATGTAGAGTCTGAGGCAAACCAAACACACAAGCAGGAGTTTCCAGTGTGTCTCATTATCTTTCCAGGTTGCACAGGGCACTAAGAAAGGGGTCAGTCTGCAGCCAGACCTGAGTTCACCCTGCAGCCCAGCGCTTGATAGCTGATGACCTTGGACACCGGCCTTCGTTTCCTACTTTGCTTGACCAACTGAGATGCCGATAAAGCTTAGCCCGTGGCCAGAGTCAGTGTCAGTGAGTGAGGGGCGTACTGTTTAGCTGGACTGTGGGAAATTATGCTGGAAGCGGGAGAGAACATTGTGAAGGACCAGGGCGTCAGACCAAAGGGCTCTGTTGTGTCCCTAGATGAAGGACCCGGTAGAGGTTTCTAAATAGGGGAAGACAGCAGACAGATGTTTTAACTGGGTGGGTGGCAATACCGCTGACCAGCCCTGTGGACACCAGCTCCCCAGACTCTGTCCTATCTTGGAGACTTGTCACTTTCTCTTCTATCTGCCTCAAATGCTTCTCCTGGTCCATCCCTACCACCTGACCTGTGCTTTCTTTGGTTTACTAGTGTGGTCTCCATCAGCCTGTCAGCAACACAAAAGTGCTGCTCATTGCTGCAGCCTGACCGCAGCATGGGACTGGGGTAGCAGGGAAGGGTTAACACACACAGCCTCCCCCCGTGCTAGGATCTGCGCTTACCCCACAGCCCTGGCCTAGTGCTTGGTGCACAAGTAGAAACCCACACTACTGGGGTGGATTATAGCTACTTCAGACCTCTCTCAAAGTCATGTTAGTTGTAATTTAGGGAAAATCAGCTCTGATGACTTGTATTCATCTTTGGAGTCAGTTGTTGCTTTGTTGGACTGCACCAGCCTTTAAATGCTAGGCCTGAAGGGTCACCGCCACTCTCTAGAGCTGGCTCCTTCTCTCCAGTAGCCTCCAAAGTCAGAAGGAGCTGGGACTCAGACTAAGTTCACACCCGGTCTCCTCAACGCTAGTGTTTGTCCTTGAGCAAGTTGGTTGACTTCTTTGCACCCTACCTGGGTTTTCCCCTGAAGATAAAGTGAATCCAAGCAATAAAAGGCCAGGTATAAGGGAGGCACCCTGGAACCTTGCTGGCCAGTATTTGTGACTAGGAAGGCAGAGAGCACGGGAGAGGAGGTAGGGTCTCAGAGAGGAGGAAGGGAGTTCAGAGAGAAGAAGAGACTCAGAGGCCTTGTGAGGAGACCAGGCTCCTGGAGAATGGGGGTACTTGGTCAGATTAGTGTGGGGCCCCAGGTCTCAGTGGGGCAGACTGCAGCTAACAAAGGTGTGATAGAGGCACCTCCTGCCCCCGTTTCTGCAGGTTCTTGTGTCTGGCCTTTGGGAAATGAGGCACAGGGACAGGCAGCTTCTGTGTCTTTTTAATGTCCTTCAGGCCCGTCCACTCCACCCCACCCCTCCTGCTCCGCTGCCTCTCAGGGTGAAGGTCGGGCCCTCCCCAGTCCAGGGACTAAGGCACCAGATGGCTGCAGCTGGCCGCCGGACACAGACACACAGAGGGCACAGAGGGCACAGAGGGCGGCACACTGACTGCAGACGCGACAAGCAAGGGACGGCGAGGGGACAGGCCACCGGCGGCTCCCGCACCTTCGGCCCGTCCTGGACGAGGGAGGCCCAGAGAGGGGCCCGCCGGGAGGAAG